ACCAACGAATAGTGGGATTGACCGTAACATTATAACGCCCCCACGGCTGAAAGCGCGATCATGTTTGATGTGACGGGGATTCGAACCCGCGACCCGCAGAATGCGAGTCGAGTGCCCTAACCACCTGGCCATGCCGGGCCGGAAATTTCCTCGGCCCATTCCTCTAAGAAAAAGATCGCTCACTTTTATCAGATTTTTATCAAGCTTCAAAGCGAGGTGGGCTATTCAAGTACTTCAGCTCTTGTGGTGTGTAGTCAACATGACGTCTGCCCTTCTAGCTACTTTTAAATATAATCTTTCAGCAGAGCCGTGTAGAAAAACCGACAAGTTTAATTAGCAATAATCCTTACAAGTGTTGCGATATTAAGTTCACGGTTAATTTTAGAACAAGTCAGCAAATACGTGAAGAAATATGAGTTGAAAAACAGGTTTTCTATCCAAATAACGACTTGCCAATACTAGTAGATAATGGTCTTAAACACATCAGTAAAAAAAAAAAAAACGTTTAAAACAGATAATGTAACGCATTATGAAAGAGAGAATGTATATCAATTCGTTCATTATCATCAACAAATCTATTGATTGTAAAGAGAAAATTAAAGGTTTGAAGCTAAAACAAAGAAACTTTGATTTTAGTGACATTAACACCAATCTTTCTATTAATAAAATTAAAAAAAAACTTTCAATAATAATTTCCAAGTTTTTAAAATAATTCTGATAAATTAAATACAGATGTTTCTATAACATTGCTAAAACATCATCACTGTTTTACATTAAAATACGTCCCCCAATGGCACAGCGGCATGTTTGCGGAATTACAACGCTAGAGTCCGGGTTTCGATACCCGTGGTGGGCAGAGCACAGATAGCCCGTTATGTTGCTTTGTGCTTTCCTTCAAACAAACAATATTAAAATACTCATGTAGGCCACGTGTTTTTACTTAAGAACACGTTTGTACAATTTGGCCAACAAACCTTTCAACAAGTATAAGGAATACCTATGGGAGGTAAATCCTTCCCACAAGTTACAGATTTATGTTAAACGAACTTGAAATTTCTTACTAACAAAGATTTTCACGTCAATCGTGCATATATAGGGTTACTAGACATCAGTGTACTGAATGGAGAACAATGAAGATGAAAATGGAGTACAGATATAAAATTCTAAATTAAAACAGTAGGTGTACGTACATATACGGTATACACTTACACATGTTTATGTGGGAAACGGGCAACTTTTTGTTAACGAAAATACACACACACACACACATATAGGTTTTTTTTTTTTTTCTAGGATGGGTTCTGGTTGATAGATTTGTTTGGCTGTCAAAGAAACCTTGATAATTAGATAAAATAATATCACCAGTACACTACGTATATGCAAAAACAGGACACGTCCTCCTTTTTAACCTCATGTCCTCCGTCCGGCAGGCATTTTGAGTATGTTGATATTGTCCGGCATTTTACTTAGAAACATAAGAATGAAATTTTACACACACATAAGCGGTAGGATTACGGATTTACAACGTTAACATCCGGCATTCGATTCCCCGCAGTGGACAGAGTGCAGATAACCCATTGTGTAGCTTTGCACAAAGAAAATAAAAACAAAAATAAGATACAATAAAATCCGTTTCTCATTTCCAGATCGTAAGCTTACCCCGAGGTTTCTCCTATTAAATATTGCATTTCGAAAAACAAGTTAAATTTTGTAGAAAATTCAACAATCGTCTTACCATTAATTATAGGTTTAAACGTTTTACAGAACAGCTTAAAATTTTCAACAGTTTTACTTCTACACTTTAATTTCTTACAAATTATTTAAGGTGAAAAAAATCCACTGAAGAATAATGTTGTTGTTTTTTTAATTTCGCGCAAAGGTGCACGAGGGCTATCTGGGTTAGTCGTCCCTAATTTAGAAGTGTAAGACTAGATGGAAGGCAGGTAGTCATTACCACCCATCGACAACTCTTGGGTTACTCTTTTACCAACGAATAGTGGGATTGACCGTCATATTATAACGCCACCACGGTTTGGTGGGACAGGGATTCGAACTCGCGAACCTTAGATTACGAGTCGAGCACCCTAACCACCTGGCCATGGTGGAATAATGACCACTTAACTTTTAACATAATTAGTGCAAGCTATATAACAGTTACTTTGTGTTATGTCATTTGGTGGGTTACGTGACTTTTATTAATTACTTTAATCGTTGTATTTTCCATTGTTGTTATTGCATTTATGGTAAATTATTTTTTTTTCATTGCATTTAAGGCCCGGCATGGCCAGGTGATTAGGGCGCTCGACTAGCAATCTGAGGATCGTGGGTTCGAATCCCCGTCACACCAAACATGCTCGCCCTTTCAGCCTTGGGGGCGTTATAACGTGACGGTCAATCCCACTATTCGTTGGTAAAAGAGTATCCCAAGAGTTGGCGGTGGATGGTGAT